AGGTGCCTGGAGTGGGGGTGGGGAGGGCTCAGCCTCAGGGGCATATAGATCTTCATTTAACTTTAAAAGGGAAGCTGTGTCTGCCTCTTGGTCTGCTGGAGACAGACCATCGAGTCCTTGGTTGCAAGCAGCCAAATTAAGAAAATTACTTTCTAACTAATTTCACGGAGCTGATGAACATCTGATGGTGTGCTGGGGAGGCTATGCCGAGCTGCTGGGGCAGAAGCTGTCAAGGATGAGCAATAATTGGGGATTTGCTGGGGATAAATCTGGGCAAATTAAGCCCCTTTAAGTACCATCTATAAACCATCAGGTCAGATGATAAACGTCCAGCGTCACCTGGAGCAGGGATGCTGTTGGGGAGGCCAGGACAGTGCTACACCACCCCTACTGGGCCTGAGGCCCCAACCATAGACACATACAGGTGGCAAGAAGCACCCATAATGCCACGTGGCTACGAGTCTCACACACAGACACATGGCACGCCTGCCCGACAGTCACACACACACACACACACACACACACACGTGCATCCAGGCCATGCCCAGACACAGCTCCTAGACATGTACATGCTCACACACACGTGACATGCATGCACCCACTCACACATGCAGGCATATTTGCTACATCCACAGACACACATGCAAATGAACACATACAAGAGGCCCAGGCACACGCAGATGGCTCAGAGACAAATACAACTTCTAGGTGCAGGCAAACACAACCTGCAGGGCCATGTGGAGACCTGCATGCGACAGACACGTGCCAACACACAAGCACACAACACACCCTTCCCTCGCACAGAGCAGGCACATACATACACGCACACACACGCACACAAAGGGGCCCCAGCCTGAGTAGGCACACTGGCCTGTCGAAGGGCTCCATGGTGCAGTCCTGGTGTGGAGGCATGGTTGCAGCCACCCTGAGCCCCAGACCTGCACCCCCTCCTGCTGGGCAAGGGTCACCTGGGCCAGGCCAACTCCTCCATCTTTCGGGGAGGACAGCCTCCACCTGGCCTCCACTTTGAGGGGGCCGGGCTCCTACCTGCAACCCCACGCCAACCAGATGGACAAGAGGGCACCAAAGCCAAGCTACCACCCTCAACCTGCAGTGCCAGGCAGGACTATGGGACACACCTGTCCACCGAGGTTCTAATGCACTCACCTGCAAACGTTCACACACACACACACACACACACACACACACACACACANTGCCGAGCTGCTGGGGCAGAAGCTGTCAAGGATGAGCAATAATTGGGGATTTGCTGGGGATAAATCTGGGCAAATTAAGCCCCTTTAAGTACCATCTATAAACCATCAGGTCAGATGATAAACGTCCAGCGTCACCTGGAGCAGGGATGCTGTTGGGGAGGCCAGGACAGTGCTACACCACCCCTACTGGGCCTGAGGCCCCAACCATAGACACATACAGGTGGCAAGAAGCACCCATAATGCCACGTGGCTACGAGTCTCACACACAGACACATGGCACGCCTGCCCGACAGTCACACACACACACACACACACACACACACGTGCATCCAGGCCATGCCCAGACACAGCTCCTAGACATGTACATGCTCACACACACGTGACATGCATGCACCCACTCACACATGCAGGCATATTTGCTACATCCACAGACACACATGCAAATGAACACATACAAGAGGCCCAGGCACACGCAGATGGCTCAGAGACAAATACAACTTCTAGGTGCAGGCAAACACAACCTGCAGGGCCATGTGGAGACCTGCATGCGACAGACACGTGCCAACACACAAGCACACAACACACCCTTCCCTCGCACAGAGCAGGCACATACATACACGCACACACACGCACACAAAGGGGCCCCAGCCTGAGTAGGCACACTGGCCTGTCGAAGGGCTCCATGGTGCAGTCCTGGTGTGGAGGCATGGTTGCAGCCACCCTGAGCCCCAGACCTGCACCCCCTCCTGCTGGGCAAGGGTCACCTGGGCCAGGCCAACTCCTCCATCTTTCGGGGAGGACAGCCTCCACCTGGCCTCCACTTTGAGGGGGCCGGGCTCCTACCTGCAACCCCACGCCAACCAGATGGACAAGAGGGCACCAAAGCCAAGCTACCACCCTCAACCTGCAGTGCCAGGCAGGACTATGGGACACACCTGTCCACCGAGGTTCTAATGCACTCACCTGCAAACGTTCACACACACACACACACACACACACACACACACACACAGCCCAAGCAGCAGGCGAGGCCTCTTCCCTGCCACCTCCTGTCGCTCCTGTGCTAGGGTCGTGGGGGGTTAAGCTGCAAGCAGCTGGCACGTTAATTACGGTTCTCCTCCAGGAAACATCAAACCAGCGTTTGGGAGAAGACCGCAAATGCCACAGCGATGTGGGAGCAGCAGTGCCTCGAGCCTCAGGCATGGCTCCAATGGGGTGTCCTTGGGCACAGCCCCTCCAAGACCCATGGGACCCAGGCCTGCCCTTCGCCCTGCCCGCTACTGGGCATTCTGGCCCCCCATTCTCTCGGCCACTGCCCCAGCTCTCCCCCATCTGATTGGCATCACACAGCAGGTCCCTGCCGCCTCCCACCAGGGCTGCCTGCTGTTCCCACTGGAGCCGGGTCCTGGCACAGCTCCTGGCCAGAGGTGTTCGGCCAACTCGGTCAATCCCAGTGTGGGGACAGCCCAGGCCCAGGGGAGGAAGACACAGCACAGGCTGCCAACCACAACTGACAGACCAAACGTGAGGAAAGACAAGTGCCCCAGGCTGCCAGAGAAGGGCGGGGTCCTCCCCAGAAATACACCACCGGGTGTGGAGGGCCTCCAGGGAATGAATGGGTTAGTCACACACCCTATAAAAAGCTGCAGTGATTTAGTGAGCGGCCAGCCAGGCCCTGGAGCTCTGAACTCTCAGTAAATCAGCAGCTTGGGGATGAGGCAGGCGGAGCCTAGGCCACAGCCCTCCAATGAGCCCACAGGGCAGCTGGGCAGTAAATCTGCAGGAATGGCTTTTACAGAGCTCTGGGTTTTATGGTGTCATTAACGTTCCTCCTGATACTTAAGGGTAAATGAAATAAAGTCCTGGGGGGGGGTTGTTCCCCCGGGACAGGGCTGGGGGGCAGGGAGGGTGGCCCCACACGGCTGGATGGTGGGGGCCCATACCTGTGTCCAGCTTGAGTGCCAGGCCTCTCTGGCCAGGCTGAGCATGGTACTGGGGGGTGGAGGAGTCAGGATGCTGGGGGGCCGGTGCTCCATGCCCAGGACCCCACTCCCTCTGAACCTCTGCCCACTTCGGCCCCCTCTCCAGCCTGTGCAAGCCCCCCTCTGACCAGCTGCTGTCAGCCAGGACCACCCTGAGGGTCTGGCCCTGGGGGCAGAGCTCAGAAGGGGATTCTGGTGGATAGAGAACATGCGGGGAGGGGGACAGCAGGGTGGGTGTGGGGGAGACTTACGGAGTAGCCTCTGCCTGAGACCGCCTGCGCTGAACTCTGCAGAAAATAAGAGAATAGTCAGTAATGAGGGTCGCAGATCCGCCGGTAACCCATCCTGAGGGCCGCCCAGGGGCCCAGTCTGAACGATCAGGGTATCACCATCCCTGAGCACAGATGCCATGATCCCAAGACAAGCCCAGAGACCACTTCCAGGGCCTTGGCGGGAACTACGGGATGGGGGTCAGGACTGAGGCCAGAGAGGACACAGCCAAGCATCACAGACCCCAAGGACCTGCCTCCAGACCTTTGCCCAGAGACCCAGATGTGGCCCAGCCATCACCCCAAAAAAGAGGTGGGGAAAGCCCCCACGTCCCTCAGGGATGAGTTCACTGTTATAGAAATAGATTTGTGTGTGTATTAGAGTCAGGAATATAAGTGTGATGTATGTATTAGATTTGAAATAAGTAACTTCATCTTGTGTGACCGAGTGTAATTGTGAGGCCTGCGTGCCACGATAAGATTAACACTTTGTAGCCCTGGCTTCCAAGCAGGCCCGCGCTCTGTAGGACCCTGATAAGACACACTGAAGACGCACCACACCTTCAACCCAGCTGTTAAAAGCAGGGGCTTTTCGGCCACATCTTTGGATGCTTGTCTGCCCTCCACAGACTTCATCCCCAGCTCCGGGAAAGCTGACCCTGCCTTGCTCTGCCCTGCACCTCTCTAGGAGAACTTCCAGAGGGCTGCAGTGACCGACGCCGTTGCGGCCGCACCCCCAGACCTTGTGTGTGTCTTTCAGCGGATCCTCCGGGTGGCCTGCTGGTGCCAAGAACCATTGGGAACTGGTA